TTTAAACCTTGCAATTGTTAAAGTCCACTTTCCCACGTCAATCTTTGTGAAAATGGAACTACTCCCTCCAATCTGGCTGCTAAACAGTAATTCTATTTTTCCAAATTAACCTGGCAAAGTGGACTTACCCTTTAATTAAAAAAAAGATTTAGCTGTTAAAGGAGCCAGCTGATATTGTCCTATCATGGAGGGAGGGTACAAGATATAAATTATATATTCAAGGATAGTTAGGTGGAGCTTAGACATCATTTGAAATGTATTCAAATGTTTACATTGGTAACTTTTCTTATTTGTTTTTTACTTCTGCATTATATGATTTTATTTGTCTAAGAAATGTTCTTGCCATTGTCTGATTGGGATCTTCATAATCATCATTTTCCTACAGTCCTTCCAAATTACCAAGTTTGGCAGTCTCAAAGCCTGCAGCTGTCATCGTACTGCTGCAGGATTCCATCATAGAGCTCTCGCAGAGAGTCTGCTACTTGGCTGCGAGATTCAGTATTTTAATTGACATGTTTTATTTGGTTTGTGAAAAACAGCCATTGGCAATTTGTAGTAGCCTGTTTGTATGGGCAATTTGATAGATCAAGATACAAAAGTAAACAGGGAAATAACAGCTGCTATAATTTGACTTTCAAAAACAAACTGCAAGAGAAGGAAAATGTGTATTACTATACACTAAGTATTAGGGATGCACCGATACCGGTATTTTGGTACCGAGTACCGATATATATTTTTCGGTACTCGCCGATACCGAGTATCGGAAGGCCCATTCAGGAAGCCGGGCAGCGTGTAAAGACTCGCCACCCGGCTTCCCGATTAAAAAGGAAGCCGTCCCATGCTTCTCTCTCACTATGTGACGAGAAAGCATGGATCCGGCTTGCTGGCCAATCAGGAAGTTGGGCGCTGTGTAATGACGCAGCGCCCAGCTTTCTGATTGGCCCGGGAAGCCGTCTTCATGCTCCCTCGTCATCTCATGACGAGCATGAAGACGGCTTCCCGGCCAATCAGAAAGCCGGGCGCTGCGTCATTACACGGCGCCCGGCTTCCTGATTGGCCAGCTTCCCGACTCAATCGGGATGTATCGGGCTAGGCATCGGAGCATTTGGGCGAGTATGTGTACTCGCCCAAAAACTCAGTATCGGCACTGATATCGATACTAGTATCAATATCGGTGCATTCCTACTAAGTATGTGATACATTAGTAGCAGCATCCCATCATCCCCTTTCCTCCATCCTTAAGCGGCGAATACTCTAGGGACACCCCTGCCCAACATGTAGCAGAAAAAAGGGACTCAGGAAAACCCTTTTTTCTAATTTTCTTCAGAATCTTTTATCCTGCAGTATGCACAGTAAGGTGGGTCAACAAATACTAACATAAAGGTAGGTAGGGTGAGAGCAGGTACTAAATTTTTAGGGGGTTAGGTCTTTGACTGTGGAATAACTGATCACCTTTTTCAAGGTGATATGGAATTTCAACGTTTTTATTGGTTTTCCATAAGATATAGCATGTTTTAATACCAGTTTTTAACATATGTATCAAAAAACAGAAAATTCAATATTTCTCAAATCAACATTATTTCCCCGCATCCCCCAACCCTTCCATAGACCATCAAAGCTATCATCAAGGGAGAGAAAGGGGCAAAACCAGTTGTGTTATTAACATTCATCTTTGCCCCTGCCCTCATCCACCTCCAGGGGCTCACCCTTCCCTTCGGTCACTTCTAGCTATGAGGGTGCGGGGCCTCTCAATATAGGTATAGCTACGTTCGCTATATGAGAACTTATGGAAAAACTTTTTACTGTACAAAAGAAGAAAAAACAAACAAGGAAGAAGAAAGATCATTTTATATTATAGAAATTAAAGCATTAATTATGGTTTCCATTGATTCCAAGCAGCAGAACAGGTATGCTTTAGCTAAAGCATCGGGAATAATGCTGTGTGCATTTGAGATCTCTTGGTATATCAACCAAGGCTCCCATACTGCTTCAAATTCTGCATAGCTATCCTGCAAAATGCTATATAGTTTCTCGTGGATCCTGATTTTCAAGATGATATGATGTGCCAATCACAGTGACTTGATGGAATGTGCACAGACATCAATGTTGGCCAAAGACCATAGAAGACAGTTGTATCTAAGCAGGCATGATCTGACCTGACCATGAACTGTATCAGCTGCTGGGTCCCTAAACATGAGCAGCCACCTTGGACTAGATTTCATGTATAGCCCTATGGAGCAGGGATGGGTACGTTGCACCACAGTTGCCTCCAACACTGGGAGATAAGTTTTAGAGCTTAGTTTTTCTAAACTGTGTATTGACCATTCCTTTCAAGCCATTTCAGACTTTACACAAGAAGGTGATCCAAGATCCCACCAATAAGCTGTTTACAGACTTGTAAGAAACTATTCTAACTCTGCTGTAGCACATAGAGCTGCTTTCACTGGGTATCTGTTTCCAAATGAAAGTGTAACATTCCTTTTTATGGTACTCCACTTTTCTCCCTCCTGTCCCTGTCTGTACAGAGGTACAGACATTCAGTAACATGGATGGGAGGAAGGAAAAATGGTCTCCAAGTGTGATGACATCTCTGCACTTGTAGTTGCGATGTGACCATGTTCCACATTAAACCCTGAATATGGGTGCAACGTGAAACAAAATGTAAACGTGTCCTTTAAAATAAACCTGTCATTGGATAAATATGGAGGCCACCATTGAACATGTGCATTGCCCGGCTGTTATACTAACCCACTGGTTTTGTTACTTCCAAAGTCACTAAGCCAGATCAAGCATGCAGATCAGAAAAGTCAGACGTCCTTACAGTATCTGCATACTTGTTGCAGGTCTGTGTCTCAAATTATTGAAGCATATTGGTTTAGCATGATCACAAACAATTGCAGCCTACATGTTTCTCTCATTATAGAATTCTTTTATATTCCATCAAATGCTAAAATGTTTTGGATGACGTAGGGAATGGTTAATTTTGTATTTTTCTTTTGTTGGTCGGTGTGCTTTTGGGAAAGATTTTCTTTCATGATGTATCTTGAGAAACAAAAGGAATTGAAAAGAGATCTCTCCGAAGGAAGAGATATTCCCCCTAAAAGAGTTGACACCAGAACTAGTTTCCCCATTTGAAGATTTCTTTTTTTCCAGTGACAACTCAAAATTTTGGGGTTGTTCTTCCCACTTCTCTCTACCTCCCACCCCCTGCACGGGTGCCTCCATCAGCTAATCGGCTGCTGTGCGTGCGCGTTCCTGGCTGTGCCCACAAGTAGCTGTGTGGGTCTCTAGACGCACTGCCTGTGGCAGGCAACACCTCTCCACCCAACTGGTTGATAATGGCAAAAGTAGCCTATGGCTCCACTACCCTCAGTATCCTCCCCCACAAAAGAGGACGTTTCAGGGACCGGCGGTGGTCACTAGTCTTCACAGGTAAGTGTGGGGGCGGACATATGGACACCAAAAGGTAGTGGGCATTTTTTACCCTAATGCAGAGAATGCATTAAATGCAGGAGACGCCCAGCCTTTAGTACTATTTTATGGAGAATGAAGCTCTCCAGTATGGACACCCAGCAATAAAAACTTGGCAGAGATTCTAACTCTATCCAAAACATACAAATCTGGCTTTAGATGAACTTTATCTAGTAAAATAGAGTTTCAGCGTCTTTCTGATTATACTCTTGTTCTGCTGATCGAATGTATTCTCTGGAGGAGCTGTCACTGTAATGTTTTGCGTGTGATGAATCCTTATCGGATATAAAATCCTTCAACAGTAAGCATTGGAAAATGAACACTAACATGACACTGTTCCTTACATCAAGATTTTATGCCCATTTTACAGACGTGCATTTCAGCTCATTGATGAGCAATTCCACAAAGGTGGCTGTTTCTTTGCATTTAAACATATAATAGAGTCAGGTTGTATTGGGTGAAGATAACAAAAATTACCTATTGGGTTGTAGAGAAAACATTCTGCGATACAGCTGTTCGTACAAAGGGTTATAAGGTTTCAGACAGTTAGACAGCATACAATTACCTAGTAACAAATACAACACATTCATTCTCATGTCTAACTTCATACCTGCTAACAAAGGATGTTATTTTCACTAGGAGAGAAACCTCTGACTACTAAGAGAAACGGTGGGAGTCTAAAAGTTTTTATTTGAATACGTTATTGCTGGTTTTATTTATAGTCAAATAAAATAGGTTTAAAGCTGAACTCGAGTATAGGCATATTTTGTCTTAATACAAGAGGCATGTGTATTCTTACTTGAATCCTGGTGTGCTTTTGTGTATTTCTTTCAGATCTGTGCAGTAATGCAGTGTAAAACTTTACCCCTGTACAGAAACTAATTGTAATAAAGACCAGTTACTCTTTTTGCAGGGTGACTGGTCTTGTATCCACCCCCTCTTGAAGTTTACTGCAGGCAGCCTGCAGTGGGTGGAGCCTGCATAGTCCATCCCACAGGTCTGCTGTCTGTGCTATATGCAGCACAGTGATGATGTCACTATAACTGGGTTTGAAAAGGCATTTGGTAGACACACAGTGGGCTTATATTTTATGGTTATGGAGGAGCATGTTTAAATGAAATTTTTTGTGTCCGGAGTAAAAGTAGATTTGTGGTTGGACCATGCAGTAAGAGTGACTATAGTGTAGTGCAATGTGTGCACTAAATAAATGATGGAATATTAAAATAAATGCCTTAATGCCAAAAATCTTCTAGTTCCTCTAAAGTAAACATGAGCTATTACCATGAACATATGACCATGTGGACACAGTATGTTGTATATGTAAGGTCCATTCTGTAGTTACCTCTTCTTGAGAGAGCAGAAAGTAGTCCATGCGGCAGTGAGAGGCTGTGTAGGGAGGGGTTGTAAACTCTGTGTACCATTTCATTTCCTATTAAAGACTTCAGTTTATGATTGTAAAGTGACATTGTGGAAATTATGCGTGTAAATGATCAAGCAATTTGACATCCATATTATGATTTGCACCACAGGTTGGATAAAAACATTTGACAAATATTACTATGACCAGACTCAGCACATCCTGAACAATATGGTGGTAAAACTGCAAGAGGACCCACGTCGAAGATTCATCTGGTCAGAGATTTCCTTCTTCTCAAAGTGGTGGGATAACATCAACTCCCAGAAGAGGGCAGCAGTGCGAAGGTAGCTTTGAGGGTTCATGATCATACTGTTAGCCGTACTGAACCTGAAGTAGATCTCTTTCCATTAAATGGGGAGGGTTTTATCTCTGTCTCTATTCTATGGGACCCAGGCAAGGGGATCTTGTCTTCTGCTTATTTGTGCCAGTTTATGGCTCCTTTCAGGACCAAGCTACTTGTATCAACAACAACGAAAATTGATTTGTCCTGTATTGCCATGGACAAGCCACTAGAGGAAAGAAGGTGTTGAAATACTGCAAGCATGCTTTGGCATTTATTGTGTGTCCTTTGTTTTTGTCTGCCACTCAGAAGGAATAGATGGAGAATCCACTTCTGCTAGCTTTCAGAGGCTACAGAAGGTATTACTGGTGGTTGTATTGGAGCTTTCTGTAAAATGAGCACATAGAACAGTATAGAACAGGGGTAGACAACCTCAGCTCTCCAGCTGTGCTGAAAGTACAAATCCCATAAGGCATTGCAAGCCACAGACATGACTCCCAGAGGCAGAAGCATGATGGGATTTGTAGTTTCAGCACAGCTGAAGAGCCAAGGTTGTCTACCCCTGGTATAGAACATGCAGGGCTTGTTGAATGCAGTGTTTTGAGACCATGCCACAGGCAAAACATGCCAGTCACTAGACTTCAAACATGGAAGATCTTCATTTCTTTTCATTTCATATGAGTAAGCCACATTGGTGAAACTCGTGAGAGGGTTCTGCTGGATCTGGGGAGTTTGTGATGTATACACGAGTTTGACTTTCATTAAAGATTGGATTTGCTTGCTGACATTTCAAACATAAAATAAAAAATTGTTAGATTTAACATTTTAATTTAAAAAAAAGTCAACAGATGAAACCTTCTCATTTTAGAAAATTAGAAGAGTATTGTAAAGCCTAACTCCAGCCAAACGTTTTTAGTTTTGAACTTTAATCTGAATTGTATTCACCTGTGTTTCACTGGGGAAAATCCCCTTACTTCTGTGTGGTTACCAGGGCAGAAAGCAAGGGGAAGTCTCCCTAAAGAGGACAGACAGCAGTAAGAATTTAAACTCTCCCCACTCTAACCAGGACTAAAAAAAGTGTGTTTTTTTTTTTTTTCCTGAAGTTACACTTTTAGCTAGTATCCCTGTCTTTTGCAAACTTAAATTATATTTACTTTATACCTTTTTGTTTCTTATTGTTTTATATATTGGAGTATGACTAGTCCTATTGATCTGTGTGTTTGCTCTCCAAAGGTTAGTTGCTAATGGCCAACTGGAGATGACAACTGGTGGCTGGGTGATGCCTGATGAAGCCAATACTCACTACTTTGCAATGATTGACCAGATGATAGAAGGCCACCAGTGGCTGGAAAAAAACATTGGTATGGAAATGAATTTGTTTGAATTGGTTTGGGTTAGAGTGGGGCATTGTTTTCTGCAATTACTCATGTGCAATGAAGCATATAAACCAAGGAACTTTTACCTGAATATAGTCATTTTTCTGTTACTTGTATCCTCCCTTTTTCTTGAAAGGTGTTAACCCAAGGTCAGGATGGGCAGTGGATCCTTTTGGGCACAGCTCCACCATGCCGTACCTTTTAAAACGCTCCAATCTAACCAGCATGCTGATTCAGAGAGTGCATTACTCCATCAAGAAGCATTTTGCAGCCACCCGAAGTCTGGAGTTTATGTGGAGACAGACGTGGGGTATGGAAACATCAAGAGGTTTTTGGCACTTCTCCTAAATGTGTGGGTTTGAAAGTTGCTGCTGTAGTTATCATTAGTGCTGCCAGCCAGTCTGTCGTCAAATGTGCATCTGCAGCCTCCTTTATGGCCTTTTTTTCAGTTACTCTTTGTAAAAAGCCAGCTGAGAGAGATCACACAAAAGGTTCTGAAGCTTCAGTGAACAATACTGAGCTCATTATTGCCTTATTTGCCTTTCTTTGTTTAATGTAACCCCCTTTTATTTATATCGAAATCATTCATTTTGTTGCCTTATCTGAAATATTTATGGGCCACATTCAAAATATTTAACCAGTTGAAGTCCATTTATTAAAGATTTGTGTCATGTTGGTGTATACCTTTTATGCCCCAGGTTGTAAAACTAATCCAGTGATTACGCCTGTTCTCTTAAGCTGGCCATACACCTTACAATTTATCTGCAGATTTTCTGTGGTCAGATGGAAAAGGTGCAACAGATTCCTCCATCTACACTTAACTGTGTGGATTGAGTAATCTCCACCTGGGCCAATCTGTTGCACTTTTTCCATCTGACCACAGAAAATCTGCAGATAAATTGTACGGTGTATGGGCACCTTTACACTTTATGTATGTCTGCACTTGCCTGTACATGCACACCCAATAGATGGATGATTATGCTCAGAAATGTGCACATAGTGTACAATTTCGCTTTACAGGCTGATGCTTACAAGCTTGGGATGAAATAAAGTGCCCAGGAGGCAAATACTCCTAGCAAGTGAGTACTGTCTTTCCCAAGCAGACTCTGCAATGATAGCACAAAATAAATAAATATTGCCTTTGCTAAGCTCGCCAATCAGTCACCGCACTTTGTCAGAATACCTAATAACTAATCTTATTCAGTGACTAGTACAAGAAACAAAGCTCCGAGTCATTCACAGAAACCAAACAAAATTTAATTTCCAGAATCAGACCAATGCAGGATGGATTGTGATTGGGTGCTATGTGTCGGCAAATTCATCCACCACATCAGAATTTCATTGCCAATTTGTCAAGCCCTCTACTACCCTAAAATAAGATCTGGCAGTGTGTGAACAGTACTGCATATCTTGTGTGTATGAGCTTGTGTAATGTAATTACTTAATTTATACCCTTGAGATTCGTGTTTTGTAAATCCCCATGCTGCCTTTCAAGGGGCCACTGAATACAGTGGGTTCCTGTTCAGCAGAGACTGCAGGCACAATTTATTTGTTCTATATGGAAAAGCTACAGCTCTTAACCTAGCAAATGCTTCACTGAGCACATGCATGTATTGAGCTGTTTAGCTCAATCTACTCTCAGTCCCAGGGTCAAGTCAATGCTCTGCAGACAAAATGAAACATGCCAGCAGCCCTCTTTTAAGACAATCTATGGGGCCTTAATCAAGGGTTACACCTTCCATTCATAAATATTCTACACTGCAATTAGATGGGTTGACTTGAACACCATATGTATTTGGTTGTAAAAACCCTAATCTTTTCTCATATGGTATCCTTTTCAGCTCCAGATTCCGGAACTGACCTCTTCTGCCATATGATGCCATTTTATAGCTATGATGTCCCTCACACATGTGGCCCTGATCCAAAGATCTGCTGCCAATTTGATTTTAGGCGCTTGCCTGGAGGTAGGATAAATTGTCCATGGAAAACGCCACCTAAAGCAATCACAGAATCCAATGTGGCTGAACGGTAGGTGAAAGGCATAAAACCTGTAGTTTGTCTGTGCCCTTTCTGCTTCACACTAGCCTTTATTTAAAGTGTAACTCCAGCCAAAATATTGCTGCTGTTTAAAATCCTGTTTAGAGCGTTAGCTATTGCTAACTGGATCTCCTATGGGAAGACTTTCTTCCCATAACAGGGTGATCAGGACAGGAAGTGAGAGCCGGAATTTGCCATTCTTACCAATTTCCACTCTGTTACAAAAATGTTTGTGTTTGGATGTTTCCCCATTGATCTCCTGTCTCTGTGATTGCCACCATTGATCTCATGTCTGTGATCACATGATACCACTGGGACAGGAACTTAATAGACAGCATTAATAGATATAGGTTCTAACCCTCCCCTGTCCAGGTAAGAAGAAATTCTGCTTTAATAATAATATGCCACAGTAATGATATTCATGATGTACAGGTTTCTGACATTTCTTTTATGGTCACACCTAGGAAAGATATCTGATCAGTTGCTAAGGGTTATTATTTGAATTGAAAGGGATTTGATCAGCATCTCCTGTAGCAAGCTTTTCTGATTCCAGTTTGCTCTGCTTGACTCAGTATTAGTTGGAAGTCTTCCTCATAGGGAATTGGAAAATTGTCCTCATGCTGAGAACAGACAGAAAAAGCTGTCGGCTCAATCGCTTAGCTAGGAAATCTAGATCAGCAGATTGGGCAAGTGTTTTGTTTATCTGTCAACTCTCAAATCAAAACCCTTATATAGGGTTTAATAAGCAAATGATAATAAATAAGCAAATAATTTGGAGAATTAAAATGCTAGACTGCAAAGTCTTTGTATCAGCAGTGAATAGAATGTTATTGCTGTCTAATAATAATCATTACTCCTACTTTTTTTTCCCAGAGCAAGCCTGTTATTGGATCAGTACAGGAAGAAGTCCAAGCTGTATCGCAGCAAGGTGGTCCTTGTCCCCTTAGGAGATGACTTCCGTTATGATAAAATCCAAGAGTGGGATGCCCAGTTCCTCAACTATCAAAAGCTTTTTGATTACATGAACTCGCATCCAGAACTCCATGTTAAAGTAAGAAGGACACTTCTATTTGAGATCCTAATAGGTTGGACTTGATGGACTAATGTCTTCATTCAACCTCAAAAACTATATACTATGTACATGTTTGGTCACTGATTTCAGCTAATGTAAATAATGCCAGATGAGAGTAAAGGTTACCATTGAATCAATAGTAATGAGCTATAAAACAAAAACATGAAAGTAAATGGCAGTGAAGGCACACAGGTGGATTAAGTCGTTTTTGGCCATTATTAGTGGGATAAAATATGGTTGTGTTGTCACCCCGTAAGAGGACTTGATGTAGCATGCATTCTGTTACCATAAAGCAAATGGACAGATTGTGCACTCACTGTGGCCTTTGTCTAAAGTTCTACATTGAGGTTTAGAAATGCAAGCAATAGACAAACCTCTAAATATACAACTGGAATACTTTTATATTTGAATAGATTTGTAAGTCGGTTCAGCTACTCTTGTAATTTACACACCTCTGCCACACGGCATAGCCAATTAAATGACCCAGCTATTACTTGGTTCAGCTTTACAGCTTCCTGCATTACCTGCCTGCTCCTAGGACAATAAATCGGTGGAGTAATAACCCTGATTCATTGCCCAGTCGGCAGAATGGAGACGGAGCGGTGACAGTAAAATCGGAAAATTGGTTTTGTCAGCTACTTGGCTATGTAGTGTGGCAAAGGGCTGTGAATCACTGGACTGGACAAAGAGAATTCTTAAGTGTTTGGTGGGGAATACAGTTCTTATACATCTATTTCAACTTTATACATAGATGTTTGACTGGAATTCCACTTCCAGTAAAGCAGAGGCTGAGTATATTTTATTTAAAGAAGCTTTATTTGGGTCTAGAAGTAATTACACCTATTTGTATTCAGTGTAGTGTGTACTATATCACTGTTATGATTTCAGTGTTGTGTGTTCATTCCTTTACTCTGTATTAACACATTAGAATCATACAGTTTAACATCAGCATAGCAGAGAGAATACTGTAATATAGCCAAGTGGTTGACGAAACCTGGGATACAACAAAGACTTAGTCTACTTAATGCAAATGAAGCGTTGGGACCGGACAATCTACACCCCAAGATACTCAAGGAACTAAGCGAGGTTATAACTAGACCATTATTCCTCATTTTTAGGGACTCTCTAATGACTGGTAGAGTTCCGAGTGACTGGCGGAGGGCTACGGTAGTTCCAATATTTAAAAAGGGAGCAGGATGCCAACCTGGGAATTACCGACCAGTTAGTCTTACATCGGTAGTTTGTAAACTGTTAGATGGAATGATTTAAGGACCACTTAGTAGAATTTGTGCGGGAAAAATGACAAAATAAATGACAACCAGCATGGGTTTTGGAAGGACCGTTCCTGTCAGACTAACCTTCTGACTTTTTACGAGCGGGTAAGTAGAGATCTGGATGGAGGGAGGTCTGTGGATGTGGTATATCTGGATTTCGCTAAGGCTTTTGATACGGTACCTCATAAACGCTTACTATACAAGCTGAGAGCTATGGGCATAGATGGAAGGGTGTGTACATGGATAGAGAACTGGCTAAAGGAACGGGTACAGAGAGTATCAATAAATGGCGCCCTTTCAGACTGGGCTAGTGTCATTAGCGGTGTGCCTCAGGGTTCTGTGCTGGGACCCATGCTTTTCAACCTGTTTATTAACGACACCGGAGACGGAGTACAAAGCGATATCTCGGTGTTTGCTGACGATACCAAAATTGGGAGGGTAATAGAAACAGACCAAGATAGTGTAACATTGCAGGAGGACCTGGATAAAATAGGGGAGTGGGCAACTATGTGGCAGATGAGGTTTAATGTCGATAAATGCAAAGTTATGCACTTTGGGAGGAATAATAGGCAAATGGGTTATACAATTATGGGTATGCCGCTAGGGAAGTCGGAAATGGAGAAAGATTTGGGGGTCACTGTAGACCATAAACTGAATAATAGATTACAGTGCCAGGTTGCTGTAAGCAAAGCTAGTAGAATCCTGTCCTGCATCAAGAAGGGAATGTTTTGCAGGGATAGGTCTATAATTTTGCCACTTTACACATCAATGGTTCGGCCCCACCTGGAGTATGCGGTGCAGTTTTGGGCACCGGTCCACAGAAAGGATGTCCTTGAACTGGAGAAAGTCCAGCGGAGGGCGACCAAACTCATAAAGGGGAAGGAGGACCAGAGCTATGAGACACGGCTACTAAATTTAAACATGTTTACGTTGGAAGTAGGGAGATTAAGGGGGGACATGATTTTCATGTACAAAATGTTCCATAGTCATAGCAACATTAGCAACAAACTCTTTGAGATTAATTCCGTAACAAAGACTAGAGGACACCACCTAAAACTGGTAGAAAAAAAATTCAAACACAAGGGGCGAAGGGGGTTCTTCTCAGTTCGCGCGGTTAGGGTCTGGAACTCACTGCCTCAAGCGGTAATTTCCGCAATTAATCTGGAATCATTCAAGAGGCTTTTGGACGACTTCCTGAGAGACCGAAATGCACAAGGGTACAGGTACTCTTAAGAATGAGAACACTCATGGACCTATACACACACACACACACACACACACAACAGGTTGGACTTGATGGACTTATGTCTTTATTCAACCTCAAATACTATGTAACTATGTAATGCTATATGACATACCCCCGAAGAAAAATATTATTTTTTCTTGTAAGAATTGTATTGTCTATGTAAGAACTATAATGTCACAATTTGGGAACTGGAGCACTGGGAATAGTAAACTCCGGGTCTTGCGGAGCAGTATATATGACTTAGGAATGTGTAGGGATACCGTTCTCTGAAGATGCAGGGACAGTGTGACTGCACAACAAACGCAGGTGTGCCAGAGTCACAGGATCTAAGGAGCCACCTGGTCTTCACCAGAGCAACTGATGGTGTGGATGTTGCTCCCAGGTTGCAGCTCTCCGACATACCCTGCAGGAACAGTGCCAGCGGGTACTCAAACTACAGCACACTGGACAAGACACAGGGTACAAGGTACAGAAAAGAGGCACTAGAAGGAAGACTCAGGAAACATGCGTGACACGGGGAGCACATAACCAAAAGGGAACACACAACAGGTGTACCCAAAGGAACAGCAGAGGGGAAATGTACAGGAGAAAGGAGGGAGGTGCACTATAGTGCAGAGCAAAATAACCACAGGAAGCCAGAGCAGGAGGCAAACCACAAGGCAGAGGTATCTGGGATACACCGAAGAGCGGGGCTGCGTGGAACAAGCAGCCCCACAAGAGACCAGACACGCATAAGGACAGGTGCAGACCATAATAGAAGTCACCAGCACTCGATGATGTGTGCAAGAAGTAAAGCACTTTTTATTAAATCGTCACATGCGTCATACAGCCAACGTTTCGGGGCCACGCAGGGTCCCTTCTGGGCGACATAGTTAGGTCACTATGTCGCCCAGAAGAAGGGACCTTGCATGGCCCCGAAACGTTGGCTGTTTGACGTAATAATAAGTGCTTTACTTCTTGCACACATCGAGTGCTGGTGACTTCTATTATGGACTGTATCTGACCCGGCGCCATCTGTGTTGTCACTTCGAGCACCAACCTTTCATCCAAGGTCTGTATGCAGTATGGAGTGCAGATGACTTCGTATTATAGAGGACAGGTGCAGAGGCTCACATAGGGGAGGATAACCATCCACTAGCAGGACAGCAGGATCTCACAAGGAGAACAGAGAATCACAGCACACATTGGAAGCAGGAATAGGCCAGAGACTAGTAGGGCATACAGAGATATCTGCACAGGGGAAGGTGCTAAGTACAGGCACACAGAAGAGAGCACAGAGATGGTGGGGGAAAACGTACAAAAAAGGTAGGAGACCAGCACACAGGAACTACAACAACAGAAGAACCAAGAAAAGAGGGAATAGCAAACAGGGAGATCGCAGACAAAGGAGAATCAGCACAAAGCAGGGATCCAAAAAGGTAACCTAGCACAGGAGATCACAGGAAACACAAGGGGTCCGACACAAGAAAGAAGACTTTTTGCTCGAACAAAAAGCAACAAGTGAGAGAGTGCTAAATAGGGGAGGAGGTGTGTAGATTAGCTGCAGCCCTGTGGAATATCATAGGCTGACAGCCAAGCACCAGGACCAAGATGAAAATCTGGCATGGATTGCCGGACATTGACATATAAAAAATGCAGGAAAGAGAAGTGTCAAATTACACATCGCAACAAATCGGATATCACTGATGTCTTTTTTTTATGTGCATGGGGTAGAGAGAGCGGGGTGCTATGAACATCTATAAAATGTCCTTTCGTTGTTCTTCATGACAGTCTTAAAATAAAATGCTTGTGTACATTTAATCTGATTTTGTGACTGGGGCTCCTTCTACAGGCACAGTTTGGAACTTTATCTGACTACTTTGATGCTCTGTACAAGAAAATGGGAGTCACGCCTGGAATAAGACCTCCTGACTTTCCCGTACTCAGTGGAGATTTTTTCTCCTATGCTGACAGAGAAGATCATTACTGGACTGGATACTACACCTCAAGACCTTTTTACAAGACGATGGACAGAGTGCTAGAGTCACATCTCAGGTTTGTGGGTAGCCTAAAACACTGATGTGGACAAATTGTGTGTATAATATATATATATATATATGTATGTAAACTGCATTCCTCTCTTAGGAGCCAGCTCCGTTGACAACAAATAGAGGAAACCTCAAAAGTTGGGTGCCAGCTGTATTTGGGAGCATTGGCTACCTGGCTTCTGGGATTTGTCCAGCCCTGTTGTAGATGTAATTTATATATCATGAAATCCTGACCGTTTCCGCTTAAACATTATTTGCCCTGCAGCCATCTTTTCATCAGTAAGGACCAACTAAGCTTTATGTAATTCAGTCTTATTTATCATTATAACTAAAGGAACTACATCCCATACAGCATGCTTCTCATAAAAGCCCATCAGATTTTTCCTTTAAGTCTTTCTATTGGGAAAAGGAGACTGCAGTTGATTTGTTATAAACAGCAATTACTGTATAAATCATTTCTATCCTCAGTGTATTGCGACTAACATAAAATGGTTTGCTAGGCTCTGCCCAAAACGTTTAAAGGAAAAGTATAGTTTGAGTTTGCCCAGTAATTATATTGTTTTAATCTGTAAAGAAAATTGGCTAGATATAAATTGTCTTTGAATATGTGTTGCTGTGTTATACCTTGCTTCTAAGTAATATTTAACATGTGGTCAGTCATATTCTCTCCTCACATAGACAGGCTCTGCTTCCTACCTTTCAGTGTCACTCCATGGTTGTGCTTTACTGCTTCTTCTCACAGTGGTAGGCTATGGGTCGGCTGACTGAGAGCCCTCCCTAGTGGCTTATCTAGAAGTTAGTAAAAATGTCAAGGTTCTGTCATAAATGTCTCAAATGACTAAGTGAACATTTTCTTTGCAAAGTGAACTGTCTTTACGTCTGAAGACCTTTTTCCAAACTGGACATTTACTTTAAGTGAACATTCTCTTCTCCATTTAGTGAATAAACCCAAAAGTTTTGAAAACTATAAACTAGAGTTGCACAGATACCAAGTACAGTACTCGGTACAAGTACATGTACTGATACTTTTGAGCTTCAAGACTAGACTAGAGAAAAATTCAGAAGTTAGGAGTCAGCTGTCATTTGTAAGGAGCACACGGAGCTCCTGGGATTTGTACATCTCTGTTTTAATGTATGATTTTGTTTTTATAAATATAAATAAAGGGATGCACAGATAACCGTTTTGCGAGTACTGGTACTTGCCGAGTACTTACAAGTACGAGTTCTGATACATTTTTGTTTATTGTCATGTGACAGTTTTTCTAAAACAGTACAGTCTAATGATTTCAGGGCTGTGGTGGAGTGCCAGAGCTAGTCCCAGCTGCAACCGCTGCAGCCCTGGTAGTTCTCATGAAAATGCCAAGTATCTGCACTGGTACTCGAAAAGTATCTGCGCATCCCTACTATAAACCAAGAACAATTTACAAGAGATGACGACAAAGATGTCCATAATCAAAAGGAAAAAAAATCAGATTCTAGCTGTCATTTTTCACATTCTAATTAAAAAAATAATTTCATTACCATAGACCACATATCTGGTTTCCTTTCATTATTGCTTACCAAAGTTTGTTTTTTGCATGAGCTTGCTTATGCTCTAGCAATCCTTGATCTATGTGCAGCAAAGCGCCACACTGGCATATGGGCAGCCATTGTTGCAGCTGAAGCAGCAGTAAAAGGACTACTCAGTACATCCTTAGCAATTTTTATGTTGTCAACTTTGATAATCACCTACAATACATCTTTAATCTGTATTTCCAGGAGATATTTAATATGGTCCCCTAGAGAACTAAAAGTCAACAGACTGTGTAACTGAATATTTCTTGATGCAGCCATTTTATCCCAGGCATTTAATTAAGAGTTCATTAGAACATGATTGTTTTTTACAGTGAGCTACTCCTGGGGGGTTTTTGCATCAGCAAATATATGCTGCTTCATAAAACTTCTCAAGACCAGATAATTTAATACAAACTTCTTCTGTGTTCTAAGGGAAAAATGTTCTAGCCGAACATTTCGACATTAAGTCTTGGGTAGCCCATAGACGTATGAGGGCATTATCTGGGCATTATCATCGCTCGCTCACTTCACGATCATGTCCCTGCAGAGAGCGGTAACTGTCAGTCACAGCTCCCTGCAGGGTTTCCCCCCTCCCCGCTTCGATCCTCCAGCGCTGACTGGAGAAACAGACGAGGGAGGGGGCGGACACAGCTGGCTCTGCCTCTAGATAGGCAGAGCCAGCTGTCACTCACGCAGCTGGGTGGATCTCGACAGTAATGTCGGGATCCGTCCCGGCTGCGGCGGTCTCAGTATACCGCAAGCTGTACCTCGTGATTATACTGAGCTTTGGGTCACGGGAGGACGCTAGTTCATGTCCTCCCATGACCCTAAAGGAAAACCCTCACCCCATTGTGAGCAGGCGACGGTATGTGTTCGCTCACTTCCCGATCTATGAAGCCGATTGTGTGACAGCTTCATTGTCACACGTCGGCTCGAACTATGAGGATGAGTGAGTTTAACTCACCTCATAGTTCTCCTTTTAAATTTTCAAAACAGGAATGGTTCTGTGACTAGAGCACCCCTTTAAAGAAGAGGAACTAGCCAAGAAGACATCATGGGCAGATCATCAATGCATGTCTGACTGTTATTTAATGTCTATGGCCACCAGAGCCCTATAGCTGTTCGTTACTCTTGTGTTAACATGGTTCTGATTTTTGTTTAATTTTATTATTATTTTATATATCTTTATATAGTCTGTCATAACAGAAGTGTATATTTGCTTTCAGAGGTGCAGAGATTCTATACAGCCTGGCGATCAATCATGCAAGGAGAGCTGGCTTGGAAAGTAAATATCCACTCTCTGATTACGCTCTGTTAACTGATGCCAGACGCAACCTTGGTTTGTTCCAGCACCATGATGCCATCACTGGCACAGCAAAGGAAGCCGTGGTGATTGACTATGGTGTACGGTGAGTATCCAGCAACTATACTTCAGCATGGTTCAGCTGAAATAATCTTTACATGTAGGTGGTTTAAATCCTCTAGATTCTACCATTTTATGTATTATTGCTGAGGATGTAATATGAGCCAGGGTATGTATTTTGCTATATACAGATGGTGGGTGAATGAGCATGCACAACAATGAAAACCGCATGCACAACAATTGGAAATAGACCTGTCAAGTTGTAGATGACATAATGTTGCAAAGGTAGAAGTTGGGGGAAGGAGGGAAATCAAAATTACATTAAGCCTAAGTGCAGTTAAGCAGCACAAGACGTAACAATAATGTTCAAAGTAGATTAACCTATAGAATTGATCTGCCTCAAAGAAACCTTAAATGTGGCTGATTGCAATTGGCTTATTGTACTCTGCACATACCATTGTTGTTTTCTTTTTTGTTTCAGTGCTGTATTTTTTGTATTTTCATTGTGAGAGCTTTGGTTTAATATTGAAAGCTGAAATTTAAGCCCACATCAGTCCTATTTAATGTGACTCTGTTGTTGCCATCTTTGCCTGCATTACTGCATAAGTTGATGATTAATGTATTCCAGTGGACTTTGACTTGTATATTTGCTCTGAGTATCCAGGTCCCTTTTCCATTTTTGTAAATACAATGGTGAGTAGTCAGTCATGAGCAATTTAAGATGCCATAAGCTAAGAAGAGTGCCTCTGAGGATCATTATCAAGGCATAGGTTTTCAAAGGGCATAGTGGTTATCTCTTGAGTGGGTGAAGATGGTAGAGAGGGAAGAAAATGTCAAATCTTCGTCACTCTCAAACGAGTGAGTGGTGGGGTAGTCAAGGCATGAATTTCAGTTAAGCCTCCAGCCTGTAAGAGAGAAACAATTGAGCTCTGAACCCTTTTTTCTTCTTCATTGTCCATTGAGTGACACAAGTCCAGTAGAAATTATGTACAACTGGGTTAAACTGCTGTCTATAGAAGGACTGGAAACTGGCAAAACAAAAAAGCCAGCCCATTGTATATGCCCTCTTTCATGTCTGTTTTTTGCTCAACTCTGAGGAAATCGATCTGTATTTTGCTATATTTTTCTCTTCTATCAATATTCTTAATTTTTTGTGGATTTTTTTTCTCTTCAATCAGCACACTGCTGACCTAGGCCCTTTATGCATCTATCCATTTTGGCTAATCCTCAGCAGTGTTTTGGGGGCGGTACCTGGACCCCACTGGATCGCAGATTGTAGAAATAGCCTATAATGTGTCCCTCAGACAATGGGCTCTGCCTTTTGGCACTCCCTAGACTCCTAAAGTACTGGTTTGTTAGCAGCAGAGCATTTTACAGGTCAAGGGCCATGGCACAGCCTCTGGTGGTTTCCAGGCACTGAAGACTCCCTTGGGAGTATGCCCATGGACAGGGCGAAGAGATACTGAAGCGTGACCTTCGGGGACTGGGCTCTGGATGTTGTGCTTTCAAGACCTCTGGATATTATATAACATAGCTGCAGAGTGCTCTCTAGTTTTTAGAGCAGTGGTGTAACCCCATTGCCCAGGTGTAGCCACTGTTATGCAGTGTGTAATGTGTCCCTCTGATGCAGATATCTAGGTAAGTGGTTTCTGCACTATAAGCTCTGCATTTTGGCATTTTCCAGGCCTATGTGTACTGTTTCAGTTAGCTGCAAACTATTTGATACCTTTTTTAGAGCAATGTTACAGCAGTTGGTGTGCTCAGTCTCTAGTGTTTCCCTATGACGCAGATGTCTTGTAATGCTATGCTATGTGCACTATGTCTCTGCATGTGGTACTGTTCACTCTTCTGAGTCCTAATCAGTAGCCAAAATATTAGAGCAGTGGTTTAGCCTTTAACTGACCCAGTCTCTCTGATTTTTTTTTTTTTTTCTTTTGAAATTTACCTCAGAAATTAACAAAGGCAAACTTGTATGTTCCCTTCACACTATGTTCTCTACATTGTGCCATTTTCCAGACTTTTGTCTGAGCCTATTAGCCAACAGCGCTCTCATTATTTGGAGCAGAAGAACTACCTCCAGTTTAGCCAATCTCTAATATTTTTCTGTGTAATGTACCTCAGCAAATAACATCCTTGTGTTACCTTCACACATGTTGCGCTACAGTATTCTGTTTTCCAGACCCCTGTGTAAGAGTCTATCTCCAGTATACCCAGTCTCTAATATTTTTCTATTTAATTCACCTAACAAAAGTTACAAAGGCATCTGTGTGTGTTTCCTTCACACTCTGCACTCTACATAATGCTATTTCCCAGACCCCAGTGTCTGAGTCTATAAGCTAAGAGTGCTCATATTATTTTTGGGCAGCGGTACTGCCTCCAGCATACCCAACCCCTTTTTCGCTATGGAAATTTATCATGTCCTACTGGACATTGAGATCTGCCTTGGTACTCTGTTGTTAATGTCAGGACACTTACTTTCAAGTCTAAAGTTGTGACACAGCTGCCGTCAGCTATCTCTGTACACTAATTCTATCACTAGATGTCTGTTTAGAATAACACATTTTTAGATGTGACCTTGATTTCTGAATATGGCTTGTACAGAACTGCCTCCTATCCAGCTCTAGAACAGTGGATCCTCTGTGTGTAACCATGTTTTTAACTTCCTAATGAGCTAAATGGTAAGTGCTCCAGGTCTAGAGCAACTATGCATTTTAAGTAACGCTTATTGTGGTGAATGTTAGTACATCACTAACTAATATAATCTGGTTTCATAATATGGCACAGTCGTTGTGTTCCAGGCTCTGCTATTTAGTTCTGTATTTAACCTTTAGGCAGTTTATTGTCAAGGCTTTAGACCGTGAGACTGTTCCTGCATCCTTATCTGCTTTTTTCTGAATAGGCAGTTTACTACCTTTTCATGTCACAGGTAGGCGTTACTATTTTTTTTTATCCTTTCGCCCCCTTTGTTTCTGGAATAATGGTTCATCTTGAGATAACTGTGCTGACATCATCCATCCTGGAAAGTGCTGTGTGCGTGCACACTATATGTTGCTTCTCACCTTCTGGCTCCCAGGAACCCTCCTCAGACTGTTCATCTGCTGGTACAGCTTCACTGCCCCTCTGGTCTCTAGCCCTGCTGTTCCCTTTCCTGTGGTAATCCATCACCTCCAGCCACCTGTGATCCTCACCTGCATCTTCTGTCCAGGTTGGGAGTACGCTAGGCCTAGCTTCCTTTGGTTAGTTGTTTTCTGATGTTGAGGGACTTTAAAATCTTTTTTTGCATCCCACTCTGAACTATCTGGTACCACTCTCTGCCCCCTTCCGGTGGCATCTCTGGTCTGTGACATCATGTCTTATTGGATTACATTTTTTTGACAGTGACCATTCCTAATCCGATCAGGACCCTAGCGTTTTACAGTTTGTAAAACCACTTTATCATGCCCTGTGCTTCTTCTCAATGGGCCTTTTGGAAGCATCAAAATTAGCTTTTGGCTCCATATGTTCTCTCCCCGCAGGTCTTTGGTCGAGATCTCTTTGCCTGTCCCCATTCCCAGAAGACGTTCTGATTCTGCGTCCTTCTCTGGTCACAGAACTTAGTCATTTTCTCTTACTGGAGTGAACAGCTCTTCCACTTATTTAATGGGATTTTGCTGTTTTGTTGACTTTTTAAAGTTTATTTCAACTTTTGCAGTCAAATTTGTGACGACTCCAATTGATACGTATGTGTTTCTATCCATAAAGCATACCTAAAAAAAAAAAAAAATCTTACCTTTTAGTTGTATGTTGAACAAGCTCTTGAGCAGACCATAAGCTTTTATATATAAAATTTCAAAGTGACAGGAAACTCTGGCTGTCCTCATAAAAAGACTAGAGGCACTCTGAGCTCTCACCTCTCATTTACTTACAAAGCTTCTATATATTTAACCCTTTGTTAGAACAGACTGTTTTCAAATCTAGTTTACAACTGATAACGAGATCTGCCAGAAGAGCATGGATAAGGTTACATAAGGTTTACACTAAATACACACCTCCCTTATCATTAGATAGGGAGAAAGCTAGGTAGGATTTTAATCCTACCGAATTAAAAAGCACTAAAAAAATAAAAGCAGCAATTTCTAAATATTATGTTTAAGTTATGTTGTGTGAATGAAAGCATGTAACAAATGTATAAATCAAAAGTAGATATAGAGGCATTCACTGGTCTTGTAGCAAAGATAAGTCAAAGCATCAGCATGTTATTTTAGTTGACAATAAAATGCTGATGCTTTGACATCTCTCCGCTGCAAGACCCCTGAGTGCCTCTGTATCTACTTTGGATTTGTATGGATATTTCTGTGGATGAGCACCCAGGCATTTAACTTAAAAAAGAGTGCAGTGGCTACACACCAATATGTGCTCAAAAGAATGCAAAGATGATTTTAAGAAACACTGAAATTGTCATCCTAATTACCCAAAACCCCTGTAATTCCCTATCATAGATGCTGGCATGTTTGTCTTCCTTGCTTTAATAGCCTAGAATCTTACTCCATTTTTAATGTTAACACGGCTCCTTTTTGCTTCTAACTCCAATCTTTATCTGGCTGTTTCTCTTTGCATCTCAAGTCTGTGCATTTTTATTTCTACTCAGGTTGCTCCATTCGCTGATGAATCTGAAACGCATCATAATCAATGCAGCTCACTACCTCGTTGTGGCAGACAAGGAGAAGTATCACTATGATCATTCTGTGCCATTCTTCAGCACGGTAACTGTATTGTGGACATAACAAACTAGCTGTGTTTTTAAAGGGTCAGTGTGAATTAATAGACTCCACTGTGACCTCAGATAAGACAGAGAGTAATGAAATCGCAGTCCAGTCCTTCTACTGGGAGGCGGCCCAGTCCTGTAAATAGAAGCAGACGGAGGGCAATAGTTTATACCTTTGATGTGTCCTATTCTTTATACCAAGGCTTTTGTCAGATATAGTTTATGGTGTTTTCTTATTGTACCATAAGCCTCTTCATCAAAGTGTCTAAAGTAAAAATAGTCTCTGTTTTCTATGATGATTAAGAAGATTATAAACTGTCCTTTTCCTGAATAGGTTCGAAAAATTAAAAATCTAATCATAAGCTCCTATCCCTGCCATGAGATTGCAGCATAATTTAACTGCCTACAAACTTGCTGCACAATTTGATTGATTGGCTGACCTGTAGAACTCCATCATACCCTTTACTATCAGCATAGGGCCTTCAGGTTGATTTTTAAGCAGTCGAGTGCATGTATAGTTCATTTGGCTTGGGTCATTATAAGCCAAATGAACTGTTTTGCTGGTTTGTGGAGTGTCAGGGTAATTGATAAACAGCCCAGGGCGTGTACACTCACGCAGTGGATGATGTTCTGCATCTAGCATGTGTGTTCATAAGCCCTCCAAGTATTTTTTGACTGGGAAGCAAGCTTGCAGACTTTAAATATATAGATACTGTATTATTGAACTAAATGTAATCTAATTTCCCTATCTCACATGCATACACCAGTGCTGTACTACATAGCCATAGCTTGTTTTGTAAGCACCCAGTACACAAAAACAAGTTAGAGTGGGAGCATTGGGAAGTAAAATGTTCACATTAAAAAACTATCCCAAACACATTTTCTATTTGATATGTCAGGTTAACAGCATTTAGCAACAACTGTGTAAGCCTAACTATAAATCTGTGCAGTAAATGGATTGGTCGATGTTTCTGTGTACCCTAATAGAAACCCTGGAACCAAAAATCATGCCTTTTTTAGTTTGTTTTTTTTATTTGTTTTTTCTCTTTTTTTTTTTTATTTAAGTTTTTATTCAGGTTTTAGTATGTATACAAAGATATAGGTCAACTATAACAATAATTGACAAAGCAATTAAATCATCATGAAACTTATACCTAACTGGTTAATACAGTAATTTGGCAGTAATATAATAAAAAGAAAAAAGGGGGGAGAGAAAAAAAAAACCACTTTTTAGTTTTATAACAAATTGACAAATCCTCTGAACTGTGTTCCATTTTTTATAAATTAATTATTTGTACTTCTTTGCTAACATAAACCTAATATAGGTACTTTTGTGCTGAATTTGCCATTCTGTGTGGGTTTGATCCCTCTCTGTAAACCACTGTGAAAGTAAATGCAGTTAAAAGCACAAAAATGTGAGTAGGGAATATAAACGTATAGCTTGCATAATAATAAAAATGAATTGCCTGAATGTTGAAAACAAAATATGCATTTAAAAAATGTTATAGTCCCATGGCATCATGTAACTTGAACATAGACTGTATATACACTTGTGGCTACCACTGCACTCAAGTACTATAAAAAGGACACCTCTCACATAATAAAGTTGTATGGTTTTAATTTTTGCTTTAACCATTAATTATTGTTTGTTTCCTTTTTAGGATGACAGCCGTTTGACCCAGGAAACCCTGCCAGAGAAAACCATCATTAACTTAGGTTCATCTCCACGGTATGTTGGTTAGGGCATATTGGTTCCTTAAAAATGTTACGTATATATTATGGCTGGTGAAATTTTATTTGGCTACCAGGATTGACAGTTATTGACTCATATGTGGTAGCTAAAGGCTGGAGACAATATTTTTTAAACTGTTGGATAATAAAAAATAGAATGTGGTTTTGTCAGAGTTTGATGTGATGCAAGGAGGATAAAACCTTGATGTCTTGATGTAACAAAGCTACTATCCTCTTCTGTGAGTTGTTCTGTTTCCCTTTGCTGTGTTACAGATATGTTGTAGTTTTCAACCCAGTGGAGCAAAATCGCTTGTGTGTGGTCTCTGTTCTGGTAAACACACCTCATGTTCGAGTGCTCACAGAAGAGGGACAGCCAATGGCCGTACAGATCAGTCCAGTATGGCAGTTTTTGACTGACCTGAATCCTGAAGTATACCAGGTAACAGACTCTGCAAAGTGTGATAATATCAGTTTGCTGGACACAAAAGGTTCACTTCAAAAGGAGTGTGCAGTGTGTGAGGTCAGGCATTTGTGAAAGGAGAGGGTGTGAAGGTTCCTAATATAAAGGGGGACTCTAATGTAAAAGGCAGCATTATGATGTGAAAGGGGGACTCTGATGTAAAGGGGAACCCAATTTTTTGTGTGAGATTCCCATCCATACCTGACCTCTAACAGGGATATGGGTTTGGTATGCATTTTGGAGAGACCACACAACATTTACATTTTTACATTCATGTATTTTTAATATTAGGGATGTTCAGATACCAGTTCACAGGGATCCCAACCTTAAGAAAGTAATTTCCGGGAGGTGCCCTCTGCCCGCTCTGAATTGATGGGTGATAGCACAGAAGCTTATGCTTCTCGTGCTACCTGCTGGGGGTTTTTTTTTTAGTATTCTGGCAGCTGCTACCGTCAGAATAAAAAAAACAGCGTAGGAATGAATAGCTAGATTGCTATTGGCCATTTCAATTTACAATAGCCAATAGCAAGCTGCCTAGTGCACCTGTCCTCTGCTGCTGTCAATCAGCAGAGAGAAGACCTGATGGAGAACTTTAGGTCCACCTCTGCTGATTGACAGCAGCAGTGAACGGGTGCAATAGTTAGTCTGCTATTGGCTATTGCAAATTCAAATAGCCAATAGCAATCTAGCTATTAATTTCTATGCTGTCTCTTTTTTTTTTGTTTACTCTGACGGCTCCGATATCACAGTAACAAAAAAAAAACCAGCAGGGAAAGGTTTACTCTGCTAGATCGAGCATAGTAAACCTTTCCGGGAGAAAAAGTTTCTCTCTACCTTATAGCGGGAGACTCCCGGAACGTCCGGGAGATTTGGGATGTCTGAGTTCAGATACCAATGCCGATACTTGGCATTTTCACAAGAACTACCAGGGTTGCAGAAGTTGCAGCTGGGACCTGGCTCTGGCGCTCCACCACTGTCCTGAAATCATTAGTCTGTATTGTTTTAGAAAAACTGTCTCATGACAATAAACAAAAATGTATCAGTAATTGTAGCTGTGCGTACTTGGACAAGTATATAATATAAAAATAATTAATATATTAACAAATCGTACATTGAAACCGGGATGCACAAATCCCAGGAGCTCTGTATGCTCCTTAAAAATGACAGCTGCCTCCTAACTTTTGAGGTTTTTTTTTTTTTCCTCTAGCCTAGTCTTTGAGCTGGAAAAGTATCTGTACTTGTACTTTGTACCAAGTACGGTATTTGGTATCTGAACATTCCTAATTTTTATATTTATAGACTGTGGTGTCTTGAAAGTTTGCATACTTTTAAAGGGTGCTATAACTGAAATACAGGTTGAGGAAAGCAGGGTTAGAATGTGCATCATTCCCGACACAATCCAGAGCAGCTCAGTAGAAATAGAAAGATTGCATTGACTTGCATTGGTAAAACTGATGATCATCTGCTGGCTTTAAACAGTGTTTTCCAGGCTCAGTAAAAATATGTCGTTGAAGTATTGCCTCAGTCTCCATTGACTATAGCAACCAATCAGTTATCATGGAAGGATTCCATGGGTCAATGCAAACCACTCTTTTCTCAAACACTTTCATAAATGAGACATTTAAAGCTCTTTTTAAAGAAGCCTCAGGTCACTAAAAATTAGCAAGAGCAATATGCATTTTGTTATTACCTTGTTCTATTATATTGTATTCATTATCTGTGAAATGTTATTGCAGGTGTCCTTCACTGTACGTTTACCCTCACTTGGCCTGAGCATCTTTCAGCTGTACATGTCATTTGATGCACACACTACCCTGAAGTCCAGTGTCCGGGTGTACCTCCATGGGAGGGACCTGACTATAAAGAAACAGGATGTGTTTCCAGTGAAGATCTTGGAGACCAACACTGATGACTTCTATTTGGAGAATCAGTACATGCAGGTCTGGTTCTCTGGCATCACTGGGCTTTTAAAGGTAAGAAATTGGGAATCAACTGATTATAAAGGGGGTAAAGCACTTCTATGGGATATTTCCCAGTAGTGTTGGCCTAATTTAAAAGTAAAAAATACATGACAAATGCCTTATTTATTAGATAAATAAGGTACAGTTGCTATTGAGAGGATTTTCTGAGTAAACTTGCAAACCATGTTGGTTGTTCACAACACCCAGGGTGTATACCTTTTTACAGCCTTTTAGATAGTGTTAGGAATTTAATTTACAATTGGTTTAGCACCGTAAAACATTGTGCATCCTAATGGCTGACACGCAAAGCCAATTGTTACCAGCAGGTGGCATGTGAAAATAAAAAAGGAGTACTGTTGAAGGGACCAGATCAAAGATTCCAATTTTAAGTGGAAATGCAACTTTGCAACTTTCATTTCATTCTGTATAGATTGAAAAATGTAGACAAATTATCCTCTTGTACATAGATTTACTTGCCTAACCTTGAGATTATGTAGCAGGCAGACTATGGTGCTTGACCTACCATACTGCTTAATTCCACCATCCTCATCTGCAGACCTAGGGCTTCCAAAAATCTGATACAATTACCAATCTTTGCTGGTATTTGAATAAGGCTAAGCGCGCACCGTCGTCTTGTAATTGCGGTTGTGCATTGTAACTGACTGCTCAGGCAAAACGAATTGCATAAGACAGGAGAAACGTGTATGTTTTTCATGCTTGGTAGTACTGTTTTTTTTCTCAGGGCTCTGGCAATACATCAGAGTAGTGGGGGAGCACAGCAGACACAGGATACTTGCTACAAAGTTTGATGGTTAGGTACAGGTTTGCTTTATGAAGTTGTTAAATGAAGCTCTCTATTTTATTACATATATACAGCAATAACAGTTTTATGTAAACATGAATATGTAAAATAAACATAATTATGTAAGAATAAATTCTCTTTATCGGGGAAGGATGCTAGCAATTAAGATCAAGGGTACACGAGAAGGAAATATTCATGAAGCAATATGTTAGTAGTAGGTGATGCAGCTTGTCCTATATGGTATCTACAGACATATAAGTGCTGTAGGAACATTGTACATTTTTAAAGTGAACAGAATGGCAGATGATAATGCACAATGTTGTGAAGTGATAACAGAGCATTAGTAGAAATAACGGTGGAGTGGTTAGGTAATATTACATATATAGGCTGGATACATTTGTTTTGTTTTTCTGCTTCACATATGTAAAATATGGGTATACAGTAAGCATGTCTGAGTTAGACACCAGCTAATTGGTAATTGATTTCTGCAGGGTATTAAACGAGCGGGAGAGGAGCAGGAACAGAAGATAAACATGGAATTTCTCATTTATGGAACACGTACTTCCAAGGATAAAAGTGGAGCCTATCTCTTCCTTCCTGATGGAGATGCCAAGGTACAGAGTCCATCTTATAAGTGAAACATAAACAGCCGTGTGTGTTCTGTATGCTCAGGAAATCAATGTGGCATGTATCTGACATAACACATATGCACCCTAATTGTACCCATAGATATGTGATGACCTTACAGGTCATGGTCTAGGAAACTTCTATGACTATGGCAAATTCCCTTGACCATCTAAGAGAATAGGCCAGGCTGTTCTTTTCCAGCTAATCAATACTGCCCCCACCCCAACACAAGGCATGTTTGCGCGCTGATCAAAGAAGAAAAAGTCTATTGCATTTTCATAAAGTGAAACCCTTTAAAATGAGTGTTCATCTTTTGTGTGCAGTCAGTGACAGGTGATTTCAAAGTGGTTTATATAAGTTACCGTACTTGGCACATTGCTCCCTGTCTTACCAAATAAACAATTACACTTTTACTTTTTTCCTGATGGCCAATTATTTGATCTCTCATTGTTGTTCCCGTCTTAATGACATGTTTATATTGGTTTTATTGATTTGGGAGAGGCCTTATTTAGTAAGCAAGTACCCTTTTTCTGTTTATAATACACTTTCTTCTATGTCCTTCACTTTCATCCTGGGAAATGCCTTGAATGGAAGAATTTTTAGATATAGAGATATAGAAGTTTTTTTTACCAATAGATAACTCAACCCTGTCTCAATATTTGCAGTGTACATAGTTATGTATGTTTTTGATATTGCAGCCGTACACCCCTAAAGACCCTCCTGTGGTAAGAATTACTGAGGGCCCATTCTTTTCAGAAGTGACTTGTATCTTTCAACATGTTCAGCAGACCATGAGTTTTTTTTTTGGGGTACTGCAGTTTTTCGCCGTTTCACGGTCGCACGCAATCTGTAAACTGGGCATGTTGGGTATCGTTTTACTCGTTGTAACCTCATCTTTTATATTTCATTTAAAAAATGGGTAATTTGTTGTGTTTTGGGGCATTTAATTAAATTTGTCACTAAATTTTGGGGTTTAATAAGGAGTTGCGCTAATATTGCGCAACATAAAAATTTTCAACTACCACCATTTTATTCTATAGGGTCTTGGCATTCAGAAAATATATAATGTTGGGGGGTTTTACGTCATTTTCAGGCCTAAAATGTGGAATATAACATGGGTGCAAAAATTGAAAAAAGGGCCTCAGTCATGAAGGGGTTAAACTAAAATGATAGCTGTATTTTCCCAGTGGCCCTAGAAGTCTAAAGTTTGACAAGTGTGCTGCCCAGTCTGCACGCCTTTGTTTGACAATAGTTGATTTTTCAATCGACTTTTGTCAAAAGAACCAGCATTTGGTGCCCTGGGAGATTTAATAAAGATTTAACATATGTGGTGAGACTACTTTAAGTGGTAAAGATATTAAGATACTACTTTAAGTTTTCTCCTCCAAAACAAAAAGGACTGAAATTATTTTGGCACTGTTGTGTAAAAGCCTCAGTGACTAGCCAGCACAGCGTAATTTGGTGGTAAATATGTAAAAAAAAAAAAAATGCCAGATTGCAGGTTATGGAGGGTCTATCTGAAAGTCTCTGAACGGAACGTGCATTTAATTCCCTTTATATAAATCCACTTCCACTGGTCCTGTAATAATGTTAGCAATATAAATAAAAGGCAACCATGGGACAATGATTGCGGCTGGTTTAGCAATTTTACCTGCCTATTTATTCAATTAGGCCCATGACACACGACACTTCTATTAGAATGTGTGGTGAAGTGCCCTTCACGCACCTTTCCTGTGGCTACAAGTATGAGAATGTTGCTTGCAATGAATGGTGTCAATATTTCCTTTTTTTACAAGTGGGCAGCAGTTTAGAATTACTATGCGCATTTTGAAAAACATGTGCTGGGCCAGAATTAGGCAGCATGTATGAATTAATAGTTTGGATGAAAATATAATACACACCTTTTGTGCCTTTTTACTATTTTATGAGTAATGGATCCATCATAAGCTCATTGTGTATTTTAATTAGCTCATTGTATATTTTAATATAGCCCAGACATTGCCTGATTTGTAAGCCCCTCACTAGTTTAAATTTGTCCGCATTTGCATTGTCTTCGCCTGCTTTCCTGACTTCCAGTATTCTCATCCCTTGACAGGAACTGAAGGTCTTTCTCTAGATGTCAGCTCAATCATTGATATCCGAGATCATGTCAATAAGGAGATTGCTATGCGGCTTAGCACAGACATACAGAGTGGAGACGCATTCTATACAGACATCAATGGCTTTCAGGTTGCTGGCTTTTCTTTTGTTACAGTGTGCAGGCTTCAAATGTTTGTCCAAATCACCTCTTTGCTATTCAGATTGTTGTCCTATTGCTTTTGTCGTCTTGTTTTAATTTTAAATATTCATTGACCAAGGTAACCTTTTGGCACCAATCTTAGTGTGGGATTTTCCAATAATTTCTGCACGGGGGGGGGGGGGATTTATCAAAACTGGAGCAGTTGCCCATGGCAACCAATCAGCATCTCTCTTCAGTTTACTCATGTAAGATTTAGAAATGAGACAGAGAAGCTGATTGGTTGCAGTGCAAATCTGCTCCAGAAATCTGCTTGATAAATTCCCCCCAAATGTATCTGAATGGGGTTAGACTTAGAGACTGGGTTGTCAGACATTCCTGTCAACAGAAATCTTCTCACAAGATTGTATGTGCATTCAGTATAATTTATGCATGTTATTTAGATGTAAAAGCCTCCCTTGTGTAGACCTACAAAAGCCCTGAGACTGCTACTGGGCTCTGCCATTTTTGATGTGATGCCAGCAGACGCTGAGCTATCACTCATGTGATACTCTGAAGTATTTCCCTTCATTGTTTCCCAGAGAGCTACATAAAAGATTATGTTGGGAGGTGAGGGGTGAAGGAGTTAAAGTATCTTTCCACTTTGCAGCCAAATTGGCATAACAGCTGCATTTTATATTTGTTATATATTTTCCTTCACAGAGCAAAACTAAAAAAAATTCAAAAAGTGCTGCTTCCGTTTTTAGGTGCTTTTTGCTTGCTTAAAAATTAGGGATGCACAAATAGCGCTTATTCAGTATCGAGTACCGATATTTTTTTCTTGGTACTCTCCGATACTGGAAGTCCCATTTAAGGAAGCCAGACGCTGTGTAATGACTCACCACCTGGCTTCCTGATTATCCGTGAAGCCGTCTCCATGCTCCCCCTGTCACCAGGTGACTGGGAAGCATGGAGTCGGCTTTCTGGCCTTTTAAGAAGCCGGGCGCCGTGTGAAGACTCGTTGCCCAGCTTCCTGATTAGCCGTGAAGCCGGGCGGCGTGTAATGACACGCTGTCCGGCTTCCTGATACCGGAAACTCCAGTATCGGGCTACGCATCAGAGCATTTGGGCGAGTAAGAGTACTCGCCCAAATACTTGGCATCAGAACCACTACTAGTGTCAGTATAGGTGCAAGATAAAAATCCTACCTATCTTTCCCCCCTATGTAATGCTGTGGGAAGTTATTATAAGTTGTAAACTAGATTTTAAAACTGTCCTAACAAAGGGTTAAAGGTCTAGAAGCATTGTGTTAGTGAGAGGAAACCCAGAGCGTGTTTCTAGTCTGTCTTGTGTAAATTGAGTTCTACCTTGTGTAAATTGACAAATCTTGTCAGGACATGCAGAGTGCTCTTCCTTAATTCTCCAAACATTGGATGAATCGATGAGAAGCATTGAACACAAGCACAGTTGAGCATAGGGCAGCAGTGTCCACTGATCCCTCAAGATTTTTCTGTTGGAAATTCTCTGCATATTAAAACAAACATTTACAATGATTGGAGGTAGTCATCACAGCTCTTTACAGCCACAAGAGCTGGAAGTGATCATCAGATATGTTGTATTACTTGCTTATTTTCAGGCAGTGTATAGTGCACCTTAAGAGAGTTTGCGGTGTTATTGTTTGGCATAAAATACCAGCTCTTGGCAGCTATTCAGCCAAACACACATAGCACCCAAAATAGTGTACAACCATGTCCAATAATCCTTACTTTGGTCCGGTATCTACCCTTTGTTGCTTATTTCTGGTGACTGGTATGGGTGACCTAAGCCTCACAAGTATTTTTTTTTTATTTAAATACATTATTAAATAAAGGTTATATTCTAAAAATATATTTTTGAAAGTTAGTAGTTCTAATAATAATGCTGTCAGAGTTTTAGATGGAACCATCAGCCTAACCTGACAAGCTTAACTGTGACATCTCAGGTCACCTATTGCAAGTCTTGTACTGAACGTCAGCATTTTAACAAGGCTTCAAATAAAATATTGAGGTTTGCCTATTTCAGAACCACTTCATAATCATAGCTGTGACATTGGTGCATGCTGTGAGTAGACCCCAGTATCAAACACCAATGGGAGTTCCAGTTTAGTTGATTGGGATATATTCTGCTGCCATACTTATTACAAGACTGTATAGAAGATGACACGTTTATCTAAATAAATTATTTATTATCATCATTTTTCTTGTTATCTGCTTCACTTTAGATTCAGACTAGGAAGTTTTTCAAAAAACTTCCCCTCCAAGCTAACTTCTACCCAATGCCAGTGATGGCATATATACAGGATGAAAAAAGTAGATTAACGTTACACACGGCACAGGCTCTTGGTGTCTCCAGCTTGAAGAGTGGTGAGTAGTATAGCACATGAGTGGTTTCTAACACTGGAAAATTATTATTATACAGGATTTTTAAAGCGCCAAAAGTTGCACAGTGCTTTACAAGATTAGGAAGACCTTACAGTTATAATACAAATCAAGACAAGATGGTAAGGAGGGCACTGTCCATGAGAGCTCCAGTCGCCTTTCATAATCGCTTTCTCTGGAAATCTATTTACCTACCTTTTATAGTTGAGACCAAATGTGCATTTTAGCGTATTTATTCCTTTATAGAATCCTTACAAATCTCCATAAAATCTAGTGAAAATATGTCCATGATTGTGCTGCAGAGTAACACTGCATCTTTTAGGTCAGCTGGAGGTGATAATGGACCGACGCTTGATGCAGGATGATAATCGTGGCCTTGGTCAAGGTTTAAAAGATAATAAGCGCACATGCAACAAATTTCGCATCCTCCTGGAAAAGAGATCCTCCAGCAATAAGGTAATATTTGTCAATACAATTAGTCTCATTAGTTGTGCGTTGTTCTGTAGATTTAGGCTGGCTGCCAAGCATGCTGAGCATTTTAGTCCCATGATGTCTAGTAAACCTCAAACTGCTTGTCCCTTTTCTAATCAAAGTAGACTTATAGTGATGGTGCAAGAATCTTCTAGATGCATTTTATTTTTAGGAATGCAACTGCATATAATGTGATCTGCTGCTTTTTTTTTATTTATTTTTATTATAAGCTCCATGAGGCCTCTTTTGCTCTGTTATAGATGACTGGTTGCTTGACCCCAAGTATTACATCATTGGATCTTTGTCATATTTGTACACCGGCACGCACACACTCACTTATGGCCATATATGAAAGAATTAGCTGTTCAGAACTTAATCCACAATTTTAGGGGAATATATGTTTAGTTATTTGATGATCACATATACTGACAGACTTATTTGAACAGCTGAGTTTTACAATTTATTTAGAAGCCTATTACAGTAGGGTTTAACAGGTGGCTTTGTTTGGGCTACAGTCATAGTGCAGTTTTCTCAAGTTAAGGCTGACGATGGTCTGAGCGCTGGTTTAGCAGCATGGGTTGTTGTGGTCAAAGTATCACCAGCCCTATGCCGCACCCTGCTATCATTTATATTCCTGTGGTAATAATCTAAATGTACCTGATATTCTCAGTGTTCTGCATCTCTGTGAATGTCTCTGGTCAGAGATATTTGTATCGTTCTATATGTCCACAGTGTTAGACACCCATATCTCCTTTTTTTTTTTTTTCCTAATCCAAGTCATTCCAAGCCTTTGTGCCTATCACATTACAGTGGTTACTGAGTCACAATTTGTCACTGCAATGGTTTACTGGTACAACTAGTAAGGGAGCATGGCCTGGCACCAGACCTGCACTAGGACCCCATTACCCAGTGCTGTGCCAATGGGACTGTTCTGCCAGTTTAATTTCCTATGTATAGGAATTTCAGAAGGGTTCCTCTCTTCCAAGGCATGCAATTGTATAGTATACTTATAGTATAAGGCATATTGTATAGTATATTTAATATAAAACCACAATCATCCTGATTTGTGGTAGCCCACAAAGGATATAATACAGTATTGCTAATTACACATCTACTTTTAAATTGGGCCTAATACCATACTGGAGAAGTTACAACTTATGTTTCACAATGATATTTGGTTAAAGGGCATTTATTCTTCTGTTATGTCTACTGCAATCTAATTGGTTCCTGTTAGTGCACATGGCTATTTTTTAAAATTAAATAACTTTCTTTGTGCACTATAAGTAGACATTTGCAAATGACCTTCTTCCATAAATGTACTGCTTCCATTGTGTGTAGCTAATTGGTCCACCAAAACCAGAATTATTATTATTATACAGGATTTATATAGCGCCAACAATTTGCTCAGCGCTTTACAAAATAGTAGAAACAGTACAGTTACAATACAATACAGTTTCAGAACAATAGGGTTAGGAGGGCCCTGCTTGTGAGAGCTTAACAATCTAATAGGAGGGGCAAGTGATACAAAAGTTAACAATTGTTTGGATTGAGTTTTTGGAAGAAGTAAAAGGCCGTTATGTTGAGATGGGTTTTTAAGGATCGCCTAAAGGTGGGCAGAGTAGGAGATAGGTGGACAGAATGGGGTAAGGAGTTCCAGAGGAAAGTGGACAGAATGGGGTAAGGAGTTCCAGAGGATGGTGGACACTCTGGAGAAGTCCTGGAGGCGAGCATGGGAGGAGGTAATTAGAGAGCTACAGAGCTGGCCTGGCACCAGACCTGCACTAGGACCCCATTACCCAGTGCTGTGCCAATGGGACTGTTCTGCCAGTTTAATTTCCTATGTATAGGAATTTCAGAAGGGTTCCTCTCTTCCAAGGCATGCAATTGTATAGTATACTTATAGTATAAGGCATATTGTATAGTATATTTAATATAAAACCACAATCATCCTGATTTGTGGTAGCCCACAAAGGATATAATACAGTATTGCTAATTACACATCTACTTTTAAATTGGGCCTAATACCATACTGGAGAAGTTACAACTTATGTTTCACAATGATATTTGGTTAAAGGGCATTTATTCTTCTGTTATGTCTACTGCAATCTAATTGGTTCCTGTTAGTGCACATGGCTATTTTTTAAAATTAAATAACTTTCTTTGTGCACTATAAGTAGACATTTGCAAATGACCTTCTTCCATAAATGTACTGCTTCCATTGTGTGTAGCTAATTGGTCCACCAAAACCAGAATTATTATTATTATACAGGATTTATATAGCGCCAACAATTTGCTCAGCGCTTTACAAAATAGTAGAAACAGTACAGTTACAATACAATACAGTTTCAGAACAATAGGGTTAGGAGGGCCCTGCTTGTGAGAGCTTAACAATCTAATAGGAGGGGCAAGTGATACAAAAGTTAACAATTGTTTGGATTGAGTTTTTGGAAGAAGTAAAAGGCCGTTATGTTGAGATGGGTTTTTAAGGATCGCCTAAAGGTGGGCAGAGTAGGAGATAGGTGGACAGAATGGGGTAAGGAGTTCCAGAGGAAAGTGGACAGAATGGGGTAAGGAGTTCCAGAGGATGGTGGACACTCTGGAGAAGTCCTGGAGGCGAGCATGGGAGGAGGTAATTAGAGAGCTACAGAGCAGGAGGTCTTGAGAGGAGCAGAGAGGACAGTTTGGGTGATACTTTGAGATGAGATCAGTGATGTAGGTTGGGGGCGGAGTTTTAAATGGCTTTGTATGTTGTTAGTATTTTGAATTTTATTCGTTGGGCAAATGGGAGCCAGTGGAGGGATTGGCAGAGAGGGGTGGCAGACACTGAGCGGTTGGTAAGGTGGATGAGCCTGGCAGCAGCATTCATGATAGACTGAAGGGGGGATAGCCTGTTTAGTGGTAGGCCAACAAGGAGGGAGTTACAGTAGTCAAGGCGAGAGATTACAAGGGAGTGAATTAGAAGCTTTGTGGTTTTGTTTGTTAAAAAGGGGCGTATTTTGGAAATGTTATGGAGGTTGAGTCGGCAAGATTTGGATAGTGATTGGATGTGGTGCTGAAAGGAGAGCTCAGAGTGAAGGATTACACAGAGTACCCTGGCTTGATGGGAGGGGTTGATCGTAGTGTTGATTTTGATGGGGAAGTTGGGGGAGGGAACACGGGGAGGAGGAAAAATTATAAGCTCAGTTTTTGACAGATTGAGTTTGAGGTAGTGGTGTGACATCCATGCTGAGATGTCACTGAGTAGATTTGAGATACGTGAAGAGACTCAGCACTGATCAGTTTTTCTGGCAGCTGATCACAGTTGCAGTTCTCTACCCTAACTTGTAACCTGTAGCCCTCCCGCAAAAAATTAGATTTATTTATATATTTGGTTTCTGGTAATTATTTCATGTTTAATGCCCTTTTTTCTGTTTCTTAAACTGCTAGTCTATGCATGTGTGTTTCTTCTGTATACCTCATGATGCTGTATGTACTGTAAGCTGTAACAATCCATTGTGATACACACCTCTCTAGTGTTAACTGTTCATAGTCATAACATGTGTATTGACTACAGTCCCTCCTAGTCTGTGCCAGTATATCATCGACTTATTGATCTGTGAATCATGGTCTGACTTTGTGTATGACCTTTTCCCATCCACATCCAACCATTTATCGCCTCTTCCATTTCATTATTCCCTTGTCCACCATAATCCTTCTGCCAGCTCTCCAGCTTCCTTTCTAAACTGCTTTCCAAGTTTAGAAATCTGGCATTATCCATCATGAGGAGCAGCAGCAATGAGGTAATTCTTTACAGGGCAAAACCTAGATTGGCTTTGTAGCTATGTGCATTGTAGTTAGCTGCTGGTAGATGCTTTGTAGCATTTTGTCTGTGAGCAATTTTAAACTAAATGTCTTCTTGTCACCTATTCCTTTGTGGTGTGCTTGTCAGTATTATCTTGCATACAGACTAATCAGTTTGGGAACATTTCTTGTACCAGCCACAGTCAATAAAAAAAAAAAAAAAGCCAAGTGACATCACTCAAGCATTTGAAACCACTTTAAATCCTCTACAAGGATCAGAAGACATGAAGTGTTATGAATACAATACACAATTATTTGCCACTGTCTTGATTGTGTTCTGCAAAAAAGAACGAATGAGACTCCAAACTGAAATTTGGAGTTCTTCTTTATTTGATCAGAGCAAGATTTCACTCACAAGCATCTTTTCAAGGACCCTAAGGGCTCGGTTTATCAAGATGACTGTAACTTGATCAAGTTAAAAATATCTCCCATTTTTATTGTGGAGTGCCAGTTTCTTCATAATTGTTTGCCAACACTGTGGTTGTAATTGTACCAAATAAAGATCAAATTGTACAGGTTTGTGAAAAAAATAAATCTGTGTGCATTCCCCATATCCTTTTGTTTTACCCCACCCACTGTCCCCAAGTCATTATTGGACACCAGACCAGCATTCTAAAATTATTCCTGTCAGCGTGCCTAATTTTCCATTAAGAGCAGATCCTAAGTCTGTTGGACCTTTCACTCCATAAGAAATTGTTGTTCCCTCTAAAATGTGGCTCTTGGATGACCCCGCTCTTAAAATCGGGCAATCTGACCACCATTCAAGTATCCTACCCCTGACACACAAATGTAATGTATACAATCACAGTCATCTGGTAAAGTATATGAACTCTTCTGACATCAAAAGTATTTTCTTATTGCTTTAAGTGGGACAAAGAAAAAAACTGAACCTTAGTGGCACAGTAACTCACCTTTCAAATTTTATAAGGTTATTACTTAAAGGGAGAGAGCAATTTTGCATTTGCCTATGTCGTATATGAAAAAGCAGGAAAATGTTAAACCAAGTTGTAAGCCGTGCAAATCCCTCCATTGTGTTCTAAAATTACCACTGTCCTGCCATTCTAAGGACAGTTGTAAGCTACTCTTTCTTTCCAATTACACTTAAAATTACTTTAGTTTTGTGTAATTTTGTGACCTAGTTTAGTCCTTGGTTCCTTACATATTGATCTACGTTTGTTATAGTTTTTAAAACGGAATCTCTTTTCACCAGAAAGCTATCTGCATTAAGTTCGTTTTTTCTTTTTTTCTTTTTCTTTTACAAAAAAACTCCTTCTCTTCTTTCATCAAGATAACCTATTTATTGTAATATCGTCCATGCCTCTTCTTTTACATTGAGAATGGTTTAAGCCTACTAGCAATTAACATTCTTTTTTTCACTTGAGAAGGTGACTATTATTTGAATTTGAAAAATAAATTTTGGATGAATGCAGGCTTATGTACACCCTGGATTCAGAGGCCCCGTGTTCAGCCAACAATTCAATAGTTTGTTAAACATGCACAGTAGCAAGAGTTAACTCCTCATTATCACTGCAATCAATGGGGTGACCTTGAATTTTGGGCTCAGGGATCTTGTTGCTGAAATACTGAAAAGTGAAACTTAGAATTTAGTTGAAATGATCATTTAATAGCACATTGCTCAGAAATCAGAGAATGTTGGGAAGACATTATGAGGTCTTGCAGATCACAACAACGATATGACACCATATGCCTTTGTTTTTCCAGAGTCCATCATTTGAGCCAGTCAGCTTCCCTTCCCTTCTCAGTCACATAACTTCTATGCACTTGAACTATGAGCTCCTGGTGATGCCTGTGACCAATGAAAAAGGTGGAGGTCCAGCTCTTAAATCATTTTTGCCATTTTCTGCCACTCTACCATGTGACATCCACATCCTTAATCTGAGGACTCTCCAGGCAGAGGTAAGCGTGGATACAACACATTGCTGGAACAGTCAATATTGCAACTTCATGTCTGCTTTACTAAGGAGTGCAGATGTAAACATGTATTTCCTGTGTCACATGATTGCAAATTTATTTTTGAAGAAAATCATGGCTTTATGAATCAAATGTTTTATCATGTGTGCTCATGTTGCTTTGTAGGATGATGGAATACCCTCTCTAGACACCGCTCTGATCTTACACCGAAAAGGTTTTGATTGTGGACTGGAGGCAAAAAATCTTGGCTTCAACTGCACCACAAGTCAAGGAAAGGTATTCCGTTTGACATCTATAATCATTGTGAAGAATGCATATATAGCTTCTGGAGTTTAAACCCGGCCATTCCCAATGGTAGGCTAATTATCCTAATAATGCATCCTATTAAATTTGAAAATTCATTCAAATATATTCCCCAATGGTCACAAAGGATATAAATCCCCTTTGTGTGCACCAGATACCTTTTGAAAACCCAAATATTACCTTGTAAAAGTACATACGGTGACCTAATCAATGCTGTACATAACCTGTGCAGAGAGAAGGGATTTGGGCTGGACCCAGAAGGTCCCACATACTACAGGCTGTCTGCAGAAAACTAAAGGAGGGTGGCAGATACCAGACCAGTCACCCTGCACAAGGAGAGAGCAGCAGTGACTGGTCTTTATTACAGAAAGCTCCTGCAGAAAAGCAAAATGTTACACTGTATTACTGCACAGATTTATAAGAAAAACACAAGGCACACCAAGATTTAATTATACAAATGTTGCCTGTATTTAGACCATATATTCTTTTACCAGAGTTTAGCCTTAAAGGAGAACTGTGGGGTTAAGGCTTTTCCCCATAGTTCTCCTTAGGGTAACGGGAGGACACAAACTAGCGTCCTCCCGCCGGAGGACACAAACTAGCGTCCTCCCGCCACCCTGGGCTCAGTATACCGCGAGCTGTAGCTCGGGGTATACTGAGACGCCGCAGCTGAAGCGGATCCTGACAATTGTGCCGGTTATCCTCCCAGCTGCGTGACTAACAGCTGGCTCTGCCTATCTAGAGGCAGAGCCAGCTGTACCCGCCCCCTCCCCCGTCTGTTCTGCCAGTCAGCGCTGGCAGAGCGGGGAGGGGGAAAACCAGCCCCTCCCCTGTCACAGCAGAGAGCCGTGACAGGATCGAGAGGTGAGCGAACGCCGGTATGTGCGTTCGCTCCCGATCTAATGAGCCGACCTGTGACAGTCTCATTGTCACCGGTCGGCTAGAACTATGAGGTGAGTGAAAAGCACTCACCTCATAGTTCTCCTTTAACACGATATGAGCTAGTCATATCAACAGGCCACTTTACTGCAGATATTCAACTATATTTTTACACGTTATAACCCAAAATTCAATCAAAAAATTGGCTGGACTGAGGAATGGTTGCCCATTTTAAAACACAATTAGAATGTAGAATCAGAGGACCCCATGGCAACAAATTGCCTCGCTGCATTGTGTGTTCCAACCATTTACTAACAGTGAAAAAAAATCAGTGCTTTCTTTAAAGGTTTTAGCATTCAGACAAATTATTACTTCTCGCACTTCAATTAGGTACTTTCCTAAGTTAAATATTGCCCATTGGTTACATGATTAACGCTGTCTATACGAGTCCATATAAGGCAGTGCTTGTCAATCTATGGAGTATAGGGGCAACAAATACAACCCTTGACATCCTCCAAAGGGCCTCACACAATATTCAGTATATGTATTGCTAGAAAACACTGTCGGAGATTGCAGACATAATGCAGGAAATGGTGGTTATAGAGGATACACTACAGGGTTGGTTGGAGCCTGGAAGCATGCTACAGAAGACATTGGGGGACTTCGGACATATTACATGGCACTAGCAGAAATCATTGTAATTATCACTTTACAAAACAATGTTCTCATTCCTACTACAGACTGCTGGGGTCTGAAGGCCCCAAAGGGCCATAGGTTGGGCACCAGTGTTATAATTTTCAGGGCAAGATAGCTTAGCAGTTGACTGGCTAAGATGGAGGATGAGATCATTCAAGAACTATATGCATATATGTGGCTTTTTATCAATGTCTATATAATCCCTCCCCTGAACAATATGAGCAGTCAGCAGCAAGACAAAATAACTATATAGGCAAGAATGAGACGTGTCATGTAGCCCAGTCTGTATTCATAGAAGTATAATCCTAATGCAGCCATTGAGAGCATTTGAACATGCCATCCATTAACCATATGAAATTGGGCAGAATTTTCTAATTGGCAGCCAATTGTATCTGCAAATTAGAACATCTGGTCAGCAGGAAGAAGTGACTGTCTGTGTCTTTGTAGAGTCTCAGCCTCCTGGTGGTTTCTGAGCTTACTATCTATAGAACCATATTAATGCATTGGAAGTTTATGTATTCTTTATGGATTTACCTAGAACTGCTGGTAAAAAGTATCCAGGAAAACTATGAGTACTTGGAGGACTCAAGAGTGAGTGAGAATATTAAGGCTAGTGGAACAAAAATGTATCAAATGAGTTTTAGTATCTGTGTACATAGTGCACAGAATGTATGCTGCGCAACAGTGCAAAATTTCCTCTTCTAGTGATTGCAACCTAAATGTGGATATGTCTTATGATGGCTCATAATATTGTCTTATGGCCTATGTATGTTTTCGTTATCTCTAGCTGTCCCTTGGAAGTCTGTTTAATGGGTTAGAGTTGGCTCTCGTGCAGCCCACCTCCTTGACGCTGATGTATTCTCTAGCATCGCCTTCAAACAGCAGCAACTCAACACTCAGCTTAGACCCAATGGAAATTTCGACTTACCGTGTGCGTTTCAGCTAACGCCAGCCAAGTGGGACTAAGATCTCATTGCACAAGAGCCAAGGACTGGAAGCCTCTTCAGCCAGTTTATGCTCTTAATGAAGAGCAACGTATTTGGTCTTTAGCCTGAAATGGATCTAACATTGGCTGGAAATTGCCTGTTAAGGCATTCGGGACAAACTACAAAAGCCAGCCATTGCTAAAGGGCAATTTGTTTCAGGCAGTTTTAATGCTTAAGGAGTTAAACGCTTAGGTGGGACAATACAGAAAAAGCAGAAGCTATTTATGGCGAGATTGCTTTTTAAAATTATTTATTTGTTGACTTTTTAAACACATCTCTACACCTGATTCCTGCCACAGTTTAGGTGATCCCTAGTGGAGCTGAATGATCACAGCATTGTCCGCTGTGCCATTAAATGCTGCAGAAACCTCAAGAATAACAAATGTTTCTTGGAATCTGGAGGGGGATATCCAACTAGATTGTAGATTAAATTTAGATTAGTGATGTGGTTTTCTTGGAGACGAGAAAAATCTCTGAATCGTTCTGAGTTTTTTTTTCCTTCATTTATCTGCCTTTTTATACTGTAGCACAGCTACAAAAACTATGAAAGAGGCTGTTGAGTGAAAGATGTAACCCATAAACTGTACTTCTTGTTTCTGCAACTGTGGCCATAAATACAGATACCATACCTGAACAATTATTGAATTACTTCATTTACAGAATTCTTTCTAATGGCAAAGCTGTTAAGATTTCTAAATGTACCCTATTAAAGACTTTGTTCCAGTTTCCAGGTGGGCTGCTAATGTACCAGTTAGCTAATTTCTTGAGCTGGACACCCAGAATATTTTTTGTCTGTTCCAGGGTTGCTGACTGGCCATTTTACACTTTATTTACACTTGTGCATCTGCAATTTCATGCATTTTTAGCATGTTTTCTTGCGTGTTTTTCATATGGTTTAATGCATTTTTTCATTCATTTGAAGGTGACCTAAAGTATAGGATTGTGTGTGTGTGTGGGGAGGAACTTGTTGTCATGAACCAAAATGCATATTGCATGTGTCTTTCATGAGCTCCCATTCAAGTGTAATATATACAGGTCCTAAAAGGCACTATATAGCACCAAAAGAAGTACCAGCAGCTTTTTCAAAATCACACTGCAGTGCAACCTGTAAGTGTGAAAGGGCCCCATAGAAAATAGTGGGATTCTTTTTGTCATTGTTGGTCATGCGATGACTGAAGCGCTTCAAATCACACAGGTGTGAATGGGAATTTAATGCTGGACACCAGTCCAGAGATATACACAGCCCTGCCAGACAGCAGAGCTTGGTTGATTACCTTTTCTCTACTGGGGTAAGGCAATATTGTTTGGTCAACTCTCTGCAGCTAGCATTTTATTGCACAGTGAAAGGGCAGCAGAATACTGATGAGCCATGCCTTTTGTTTTCCGGTCAGTTCCTTGGTATGTGCCTGGAGTCCTGCCTTAATTGCAGAAACATAGGAAATATATAAGTTGTGTAGCAGATTAAATACATGTAGGGCACAGACAAGTTTGAACTCACAATGGAAGCTGTATAACCTAGATGTTGAAGGGATATGGTGGCAATAGTTGTCCATGCCCACCCTTGGTAAGGTATACACCGGCCTCAGAAGCACAGAACTACATGCTTTTAGGTGTGAAAATGTATTGCGTTAACCATGTGTTTTTCATATGTGAGTTTAACATCTATTTCTATTAACTTGTAAAAAGTTACAAAAGCAGTTTCAAATGTATTAAATAGACATGCTGCATTACACCGTCCTATACAACTCTACATTTAAACACCGAATACCGTATTCTTAATAATATGAATCATACATGCAATGAGCACCAAAATACAAAAACACCTATATCCGCAGGCCCTTTGAACCACTGGAAGTCTGTGGGACATATACTGTGCATTTACACACCCTTACCATTAATAGAGCTACTATCAGAAGAAAGATTGACAATACACAAGTCCTGAAACTGTGCTTCCAGCTGTTTTATACAAGGAAAATTTTCACTTTTAATATGCAAAGAACAAGTATGTGCATATTGTACTTCCTAGTTATGGCCATGGAAAATATTAAGTTCCCTGTTAGACAGGGCACAATGGGTACGTTTTTGAAGTGGTCATTTTTTTTTTTCAGCAAAGGATCGTGGCGAGCTTAGTTGTGCTCAGAAAATTTAGCTATGCTGTAGGTCCTCCTAAGCTGTCCTAAAATCTTGTCCAGCGTGTCTTGCCCTGCTAGCCAATCCTCAGCCAGTGCCAATCAATTACTTCACTGATACCAGAGACATGAACTATTTATGTCCCCAGTCCTAGGTGTGATAAAAGTAAACCATTTACTTCTCTTACAGGGATGTGGTATCTTCTAAAGAAGGGATCTTAAAGAAGAACTCTGGGGAAAAAAGCATTTGTAACCCTTGTAGTGGGGCTTCCCCCGGCACTGCAGGGGTTAAGTGCTCATTTGTATCTAGGTTAAAAACAAAAAAATTATACTCACCTGATCCTCTGAATCGGCCAGCTCTAAAACTAGCCATACACCTATAGATTATCTGCAGATCTTCTATGGTCAGATGGAAAAATTGCAACATATTCTCCTATCTACACTAAACTGTGTGGATGGCGGAATCTCATGCTGGGTCGAGCTTCAGTATCTTGCTAGTCGGCCTTGCTAGCTGTCAGAACACCTGAACAGTCTGGTTGGATGCAGCAGGGATTCTTCCATCCACACAGTTTAGCGTAGACGGAGGAATCTGTTGCACTTTTTCCATCTGACCAGCATCTCTCCCTCTGCTGCAGCGGTCTAAGGTCCAGAGAGTCATCATGTTCTATACACTGTCTATAAGATATGAGGAGGCTGAGGGATATGCCATTGCTGCAGCGGCAAAGGAGACAGGCTCGAGGGAGCACTGTCACAGCCGTCCGCCTGTGAGGTTCGGGTGAATAAGACTTTATTTAGTTAGTTCACAGTATTAAGTATTATGTTTGCCTCTGTTCATGGTACAGAAAAATGTCTTCCTTGATGAACACTTGTACACGCAGCGTGGGAGCTGCTGAGGACTGCCACCCTGGAACAGATACAGTGATGACTATTCATGACCATAAGCTCTAAACTATTAATTATATAAATCACAACTTTAAAGATGACTATTATCCTTCCTACAGTGCTTATAGCATTACTCTACTCAGGCCTAAGGGGATGACATTGTTAATGAAAGCAAAGTCTCTATTTTCAGGACTTCCTGATGGGTTTCAAATAAAAGAGCTGATATCTGTACATTTCTGGCTGAAGGTTGTGATTGTGGATATTTATTTATAATAGTTTTTTGTTTTTTTAAAGGGAAAGCCTGCTTTTCAATAGTTTTAGCCTAAATGATTTACAGTTTTGGTTTACACATACTTTTTGCTTGCAGCCTACCTACCATACAGAACACATGTTCTTCACATGTGTATTGTTTTAATGAAAGAAACATTCTTTTAGGCCACATGGACAGATTGCTTGGTCATTTATAAATAAGAAATCATGAGGCATATGTATTTATATTTATGTAATCAGTTTCCTGCAGTAAACTACACATCTAGTCTCTGCACCATTTTATTGGGTAAATCCATAAGTGTCTGTCTTTTTTTTTCTCAAGTTTCTATTCTATTGTAGGACTACAGATGGGATACCATGCCATGATTATTATCCAGCCATGTGTATCCTCTGACAGGAAGCTTCAATGTCCCTGTTACTTAATATGGCACATTAGATTACACTGCTCTTCACAAAACAGTAACACAGTCTTACCCTTGATCATAGACTTTAGGTAATCGATTAGTTCAACCACAAGAAAAAAATGTTCTGTTCTTTCGCGCATTCATTTTAAGGGTTTGAGTAACAATAAATTAATCTGGCATAGGAGTTTACACAACTCAAAGCTGTCCATATGTTGGTGGAAGCTACTTTACAGGACCATAGAGTTTGGCACAATTTACAGTGGTACACAAACTTAATTTGTTCCATGATTCTGGTCGCAAACTGAATCAAATTTACCCATAAGGTTCCATCTAAAACATAATACTGTACAGTACTGTAAGTGCTAAAAAGCACACAAAAAAGCTTCACAGCAAGTGCGCACAGGTCTGTCTGCGACCTCAATCTGGACTAGAAGAAGCCACGACCACGTGTCAGAGCGGGGAAGATGGCCTCGGTCGTGTTCGTCACCCGATTTGGAGTTCGCGAACGGAAGCATAATTTTGCCGAACTTCCTGTTCGCGAATCGAATTGTTCGCGAACAGAAGTGTTCGTGAATCGAGGTATTATTGTATTCGGTTTTTAATGTATGGTGAGGATTTGGCAACATATCACAGTTTTTTTTTCATCAAATGGTAGGTATGGGCTGATATATCTATGAATATTTCAGTCTTTAAAGTAGAACTCCAGTCAAAACGTTTTTGAGTGTTCAGTAGAGCAGGGAAGAGATAGAATCTCTGTCAGCTTTCTAGTGCTGTTTTGTCCTCAGTGGAGAGACTCGCCTTCACAATTTGTCACCATTGACATCGCGACAGATGGTCAGGAGAAATCCTAAATTTTCCAGTTGGCACTAGATTACAAGTAAACGGATCAGAATAGTTCGAGTGACAGTGTAAACCAAGATTTCATCTCACTTTTGACAAGATTTTCACTTCTTTACTGCAACATCACTAGGACAGGAAGTGTGAGGAAATCTCTTCAACAGGGACCCAGATGGGAATTAAACCTAACCCTATGCTAAATTCAAAGCTTAAAAAGAAAAGGTTTTTATCGAAACTCTACTTTAGGGCATTTTTCATAGGGGTGTGAGAACTTTGAAATAAAATATGATCATAGTTGTCCTTTTGGTAGCACATTAAGGTGTTTTATAGCCTATTTCCTGAAAAATCAATGAAGGTTGCAGGGAGTTTGTACACAAGCTCCTGGCATAGCTACTGTATGTCTTACCAGTTAAACCCGCCACAGTCTCTGTAGTAGTTAAAATCAGCCAAGGGGATTTTTCTCTTGTACTATATTGCCAAAAGTATTGGGACACCCCTCCAAATCATTGGATTGAGGTGTTCAATTCACCTCCATGGCCACAGGTGTATAAAATCAAGCATCTGGGCATGCAGACGCTTCTATAAACGTGAAAGAATGGGTCACTCTCAGGAGCTCCGTGAATTCAAGTGTTGTACCATGATAGGTTGCCACCTGTGCAATAAGTCCATCCATGAAATTTCCTTGCTACTAAATATTCCACGGTCACCTGTTAGTGTTATTATAACAAAGTGGAAGCAACTGGGAACAAAAGCCACAAAGTGGTAGGCCATGTAAAATGACAGAGGGGGTCAGCGCATGCTGAAGCACACAGTGCGCAGAAGTCACCAACTGTCTGCAGAGTCAATAGCTACAGACCTCCAAACTTCATGTGGCACAACAACAGTGCGTTGACAGCTTCATGGAATGGGTTTCTATGGCCGAGCAGCTGCATCCAAGCCTTACATCACCAAGTGCCATGCAAAGCGTCGGATGCAGTGGCGTAAAGCTCGCTGCCATTGGACTCTGGAGAAGTGGAGATGTGTTCACGCTTCTCTGCCTGGCAATCCAATGGACGTGTCTGGGTTTGGCGGTAGCCAGGAGAACGGTACTTGCCTGACTGCATTGTGC